CATATTCCTTACTCTTGCTATGTGATTTACCCACCCGTTTCTTCAAGTCATATAATTTCTTTGAAGAAATCCTTTAAGTGCTTATTAATTAATCAGTGTATCAATAAAAAAGTATTTATTAGACTCCTTGCATATGCTAGGTACTATGCAAAGCATTGGGATACAAATACAAAAATTAAACAGTCCCTGACATCAAGCTTATATTTTATTGGGGGCAGCAAAATGTACAAAAACAAACACAAAGTAAATTGCTATTTCAATACTGTTCACATAATCCTCTATTGTACTCCTCTATAGAGCTTTACAAATGAGTTTACATTATAACCTGGCAATGTCCTTGGCTTCCACCTCTCTCTGCTTAGCAAAGAGATCAAGTCTATTGGATAAGTCAATTTCTAAGCTTTTTTGGCTTTTTGCCTTGGCAACTTTTACATTGGTTACACTTTTGCAGAAAATGGTGATAATCAAAGTAGCTAAATTCTCTCCCCTATTCAATCCATCCATCCTTCACACAGTTGTCAGTTATTTTCTTAATACACTCCAATGGCTCCCTTTAGCCTCTAGGATCGATTTATCTAGGATAGAATTATAAGTTCTGATGAGTTTTTAAAATCTTCCATAAATTGTCCCAAATACGCCTTTCTTTTTAACTTTATTAATGATTACTCCCTTTCTAACACTACAGTTCAGTCAACCTGGCTTTCCAGCTATCTGCACACTCTTCCTCTTGGATATGAATTCCCACCTTCCAACAGTCTCTACAAATACCTTGTTTCTTTCAAAATTCTGCTCGTGCAATCTTTTGCAAGAAGTCTTTCCTTATTCCCCCAGGAAACTCCTCTCTTCTTCAGTTACCTTCTATTTATTTTGTAAATACTTATTCATGAACCTGTTATTGCCCTGGAAAAAAATGTAGGCTCTTTGGAGGCAGGGTCTTTTTTTGTTTTTGTATCTATTGCTCTCCCCAACTCCCAGGCATAGTGCCTGGTAAAAAGTAGGTGCCAAACAAATGCTTGTTCAATGACTGATTTGCCCTTTTCCAGTTCCTCTTTTTCATCACTGACAAACTAATCTGAATGTAAATTATTGCAATAATTCACAGTATCTTTTCATTTTTACCTTTTCTTTTAATTTGATGTTGATATGGCCTTTGTTCTAACTAGTCAATGGTCTAATTGCATGCAGACAGCTGATTTTGACATGATTCCCAATTTTGTTTACCATTCATTTTCTGTTAATATGCTATTTCAATTTTTGTGATATTGTTTGTGCTCACTATATCTATGGTCTTCTGACTCTTCTAGACAAAAAAATTTATATAAATGAACTAAGGAGTTCAATGTCTTCAATGTCTTTTGTTTCTCCAATCTAAGCCATATTTACTGAGAAATTTTTCATCATCTTCCCTTCTACCTTTACACTGAAATCACTGAGTATAAAATTAGAAGCTGACCTCAATTCTTTAATAAAAATATTGGAAAAAATGGTTGAGTTGATCGTGTGATATAGCACTAAACATATCTATCTACCTATCTATCTATCTATCTATCTATCTATCTATCTATCTATCTATCTATCTATCTATCTATCTATCTACAGGTTGGTATTATCCTATTATTCCACATTTTTGATAGTTACTTAACAAGTTGTAAGTCCATCTAACCCTACTATTTTCTAGTGCACATTTTTCTATCTTATTTATATTGATATCATGAGAGAATCATGACAGAATCTGAAAAATGTATTGGTGACAAATTCATATATACTTTATCTATAGCATCCACTTGGTCTACCAGTCTAAAAACCTTATCAAAAAGGGCAGTGAAATTAGTATGGCATAACTTGGTCTAGATGAACTCCTGGGGCTCCTTTTTTACCTAAATATTTGCAAATCAAAAACAAGTCAATAAACATTTATTAAGTGCTTTCTAGTTGCGAATATCTTGCTAAGCATTGAGAATACAAACACAAGCAAGAATAGAGACAGTCCCTGCCCTTCCGGGGCTTGTGAAAGAAAACATCTAAAAAGAAGATGAAAAGTAGACAGGTTTGGGGAGGGTTAAGTTATCCACATACAGATGAAGGACTGGGTCATGGGACTTAAACCAAGATGACCTATTTGCTGTTCTTCCTATACAATATTCTATCTTTGATTTCTCTTCTTTTGCAGAGACTGTTCCCCATTCCTGAAATGAATTCCCTCTTTACCTCTGCCTATGGAATGGTTATCTCTCTTCAAAGTTCAATTAAGTGGCCATCTCCTTCCTACATGAGACCTTTTCTGATTCTCCTAGCACAACTTCCCGTGCTCCATTACCTTGTTTTACTTTATAAGTAATTATAGGTGTACATGCTGTCTCTTTTGATAGAATGTGAAGTATTTGAGGGTTGGAACAGTTTCTTTTTTTGTATTTCTAACAGTGATTTGAACATAGTAAATGCTTAATAAATGTTTATTTATTGATTGAAGTGCAAATTCTGTCCTAAAAGAAGAAAGGTGAGTAATAATGTGCACAGTAATATCTAAGACACACTCCAAAACATGAAAGAAGTACTGGGGATGGATATGGGGTTTGGAGATAAGGCAGTGAGTCACCATAGTCTCTAAACTCCTGGGACTAAGATTTTGTATTCATATTTACTACTAATACATTTCAGTTTTTGAGGATAAAATTTAAAAGGCATATAAAATGCTTTTAGATCTTTGGAGAAAGGGGGTTTAGAAATACCAAGTACTTTTATATACTTAAAGTGTTTCCTTTATCAAATAGTCACTAAGAAATTTCAGAGGTCATCAAAAAGTAACCACCTTTCACTGAAGTGCTAGTTACTTTATATGATTTAAAAAATCAAGTAAAGTAGATTTTATGGTTTTAATTACCAAAATTTTAGATTCTAGTTTATATTCAGATTAAAAATCAGATCTTTTGTTTTTGAGTAAATATACAAAGGGACATAATAATTTATTTTGCACTAAAAAAAGGATATGGTCACTTCACTCTGAAAATAACTGTTAGTAAAATAAAATTATGACTTTAATCAGCCTAGAATTCTTGCAGGTTAGGTAACAGTCCTTTGCATGATTGTCGCCCATGCCTGAAGCACTCTCCCTCCTCCTTTTCAACCTGTTTCTCTGGTTTCTGTCAAAGCTTAGCTCAAATCCTACCTTCTGCAGGAGGTCCTTCCTGTCCCCTCAGATGCTAGGGCCTTCCCCTCTGGGACTACCTTCAGTTTGCTCTCTCTATGTCTCTGTCTGTCCTCTCTATGCACTCATTCTCTCTCTTTCTGTGTGTGTGTGTGTACACACCTAGTTATTTTCATGGCGTTTTTACCATTAAAATGTGAACTCCTTGAGGGCAGGGACTGCTTTTACCTTTCTATCTCCAGTGGTTAGTAAGTGCATGGTACATAGTAAGCATTTAATACAAGCTTGTTGATTACTCACTGATGTTATTATCTCCTAATCTATGAATTCAGGAATCACTTATTGTCTCTCTGATTTCCCTACCTATCAAGAAATACGATAAAAAATAGCAAATATCATTATGATCACAGGATCACAGACGGATTAGATTAGCAAGGGAGTTAAAAGGTCATTTAGTCCAACATTCTTTATCTATCTATCTATCTATCTATCTATCTATCTATCTATCTATCTATCTATCTATCTATCTATCTCTCTATCTATCTCTCTATTTCTCTATCTATCTATTTTCAGGCAGTTGGGGTTAAGTGACTTGCCCAGGGTCACACAGCTAGTATGTGTCAAGTGTTTGGTCTGAGGCCACATTTGAACTCAGGTACTCCTGACTTTAGGGCTGGTGCTCTATTCACTGCGCCACCTAGCTGCCCCTCTAAAGCTCATTTTTACAAATGAGAAAATTGAGTCTCAGAGACAAAATGTCTTGCCCACAGTCACAGAGCTGGTAAATGGCAGGGCTGGAATTTGTATCCAAGTATTTTGAGTCCAAATTCAGCATTTTTTCAACTGCATTACTCATGAAGTATTAAAATAGGGCTAATTTGAAAATTCTCAACTCTATATTGGCAAAGATACTGAAGTGGTTTGCTGTTTTCTTCTCCAGCTTTTGCAGAGGAGGAAACTTGGGTAAACAGAGTTAAGTGACTTGGCTCAGGGTCACAGAACTAGTAAGTGTCTGTGGCCAGATTTGAACTCAGGAAGGTGAGTCTTCCTGACTCCAGTCTAGCACTTTATCCATTGTAGCTGCCCTTTCAAGAACAACAAAAAATTTTTTTTATAATAGATAGATAGCAAGCACATTTCAACCAAAACACTTAAAAAACTTTCATTACATGTCCTGGAAGGTTAAAATTATCTTGAATCAGTGTGGTATGTTGAGTAGAGAGTTGGTCTTAGAATCAGGAAAACCTGGGTTCAAATCCCAGCTCTGAAAAAATACTTGCTATGTGACTGAGCAAATCATGGTGACTCAGGAAACTCTCTAAGACTTTAGGTTGTAGAGCACTTGTGGTTCTCCATTGGTAAAGGGAGTTTTCTTCAGGGATTTCCTTATTCAAATGAAATCACAAGCAGACTTGCTTTTTAAAAATTACCTACTTGCCAATCCAACAACCAAGGAGGAAGAGAAGTAGATAAATTTAAGTGCTTTTAAGGACTGGTGAATCTGAAGAGAGGCAATGAAGAGTGCATAAAACCAGAAGCCAAGAGTTTTCCTCATAATTTATTGGGGGGATGGAGTGTGTGGAGAACCTAGAAATATCAGTTGGAACTCAACCCAAACAGAAGATAAAAACACCATAAAAAACTATATATTGTTTACTTTGATATCTAAAACAAAACAAAACCCTTAATTTCTCAAAAATTAAAGTCAAGAAACAAGGATAAGTTTCATTAGTCTGGATACTGGATTAGAACTCTGGATTCTTAGAACTCCAAGACCTTAGAATACAAAATGTCTCTTTTATCACAGAATATTTCACAAGTTCTATAGCTAAAACGTTTCCACAAATGTACTTACAATTCGAAGTAGCCAGGATAGTGTAGATGGTGCTGTTGAATAGTGTGTGCTATAGTGGCAGGGTGGGCTCTGATCATCTTCCCAAGTCTCATAGCGCTCTGCATAAAAAACTGCTCTTTTGGGATTCAAAGCACCAACTGGCTATAAAGAAAAGAGAAACCCTGTTAATTAGTAAGTTAGGATAGTATGTGCCAGACGATCACACCATATATTCTTATAAAAGAGTGTTTTTTTTCCTTTAATGAATTTAACTCACAGAGCACAGATATCTCATATTATAATGCATATATACTAAAGCTGGATTTGGAGTTCCCTTTCAAGGGATACAAGCTGATTGAGGGGTTTTCTACTTTGTACTTCTAAGGGGTCTGTGAATTTACTTTAGGGAATCAGTGAAGTCGGATGGGAAAAAAACATTACATCTTTATTTCAATATAACTGTTTTCCTTTATAATCCTACACATCTTAATGCATTAAAAAACTGAGAAGGAATCCATAAACTTTACCACACTGCCAGTGGGGTCCATGACACAAAAACAGGTTAGAACCTCTGACAATCTCCTTTTACAGATAAATGAACTGAGGTCCAAGTAGCAGGGCCAGAATCTGATTCTTCTCTACAGCATAATAAAAAAGTAGTTATCTAACTTACTTCTTAGACCTCCAAGGAGGGGAATCTACTGACTTTTTAATTTGTATTTATTTTTTTTTTTTATTTTTAATGGCATGTTCCCCAATTACAGGTAATTATAATTTTCAACATTCATTTTTCTAAGATTTTGAGTTCTAAGTTTTTCTTCTTCCCTCACTTCCCTCTCCCTACCTCAAGACAGCAAGCAATATGATAGAGGTGCAGTTATGCTAAACATATTTCCACATGAGTCATGTTGTGAAAGAAGAATCAGAACAAAAAGGAAAGACCACGAGAAAAGGAAAAAAACCCAAAGCCAAAAGTGAAAATAGTATGCTTTGATCTGCATTCAGACTTCAGTTATTTCTCTGGATGTGGATAGCATTTTCCATCATGAGTCTTTTGGAATTGTCTTGCATCATTGTATTGCTGAGAAAAGCTAAGTCTGTCAATCATAGTTGATCATAGTACAATGCTGCTGTTACTATGTAGAATGTTCTCAATCCACTACTTCCAAAGCAGCCCATTCCATTTCGGGACAGATTTAGTTTTCAGGAAGTTTTTCCTTATATGATGCTTAAAATTTGCCTCTTGTCACTTCCAATCATTGCTTTCAATTCTGCCTTCTGGGACCAAGCAGAGTAAGTCTAAACAGTCATTAAAAATTATAGATATAGAATTGAAAGGGACCTCAAGGGACACCAGTCCAAACCTCTCATTTTACAGATAAAGGAAACCAAGGCCCCGGGAATCGTAGAAGATCTTGGAATCAAAAGCAAGTATCAGGGCCCGAATCTGATTCTAAGATCTCTAATTCCAGATCAAGTGCTTATTTTGTTGTAACACCACACGAAGATAGCTACTATATTGTTCATAAGTGTTTTATCTAGGTTTAACATCTGCAGTCATTTCAACTGATTCTTTTATGGCATAATTATGAGGTCCTTCACCATCTTGGTTACCTTACTCTGGCTGCTCTCCAGCTTCCTAAGATGTTGCCATTAGTACATATATCTTGAACAGAAGATGCAGATTGACAGTGAACTGGGTCCCAAATTGACTACTAGTAGTAGATCAGGCTGCACTGCATTTGGGAAATTATGCTATGTTTTTAATGATACCAAGCTGCTGAAAAGAAAAATATCTTTTTGATACCGATACTCTCAAAAGGATACTTACAGCTGAAAATAAGAGAACACATGGTTTCAAAACAATCAGACTTGCAAGTATTTAATAGGTCAATGGAAAGACATACTGTTAATGTAAGTAGGCTAGCGGATATTACCAGCAATGAATTTTGCACAAGAAGACAGATAAAATACATCATCAAGAGTCTGCATGCCATGCTAACAGTCACAAATGTAATATTAGACAGTTTTCCTTGTTTGGGAAGGAATATGCTTTGGTTTATATGTATATGTGTTCATCTGTTATGTCAAAACAAAATGTACTAATATTTATTAAAAAGAATATTTATGATCAGAAAATGAGATAGTGTAGTTGTATAATAAGCATGAGGGCAATGAGATGAACAACCAAAGTACAGTAATGCTATCTAGAATATTAATATCAGAATAAATACGAGCATTTTTGGAAATACGTACACATATATTTGTATATACATATGTGAATTATTTATTATAAGACGGCATTATGAGGCAGCAAGGTGGTTTGGTGGATAGAGAGCTAGGCGTAAAGTCAGGAAAACCTGAGTTCAAATCTAGCCTCAGATACTTACTAGCTGTGACTAACTTGGGGAAGTCACTTATCTGTTTCCTCAACTATAACATAAGGAAATTAATAGCTCCTTCCTCATGGGGCTGTTAATGAGGTTCAAACGAGATAATATTTGTAAAGTGCTCAATAAGTGCCTGGTGCATGGTTGGTGCTATATAAATCCTAGCTATAATGATGATGATAATGATGATGATGATGATGATGATGAATGGGCTGAAATTTGCACTTCTGAAGCGAGTACCCATATCATTCATATAGCAGAATCATCAAAGTATTGATGTATTCAGACACGTCAGGAAAAAGATCCTTTGCTCTGATTGTGAAAAACTTCTCTATGATGCCTGTTGAAAAGCATATTTTCTAAGACAACACTGCTGTAATTCAAGCTGAAGTAGCTTTTTCAAACCTATATTATTTGTATAATTGCCTTGAGTCTCTACAGGGGCCTAGACATTAATAATTCAAAGCTTGCAGTTCTCCTGATTTCAAATTCAGGATTGTAATAGTTACATTCACCTGATTTTTATCTGGTGGTCTTAAGCTATAAAAGACTTATGTTATTTTGTTTTCAGCTGTACACTATTAAAAGACATATTTTAGAGAATAAATGATTAGATAGGTAATATGTATCTTATCTAATTACTTTATTTCATAATTTAATGTTAATAGAATTCTGCAAAGTTTCCCCCAAGGCTTAATATTGACACTGAAATTAGGACAAAAATTAGGACTTCAAAGAGGGAAATATTACACAAGGGAAAGGAATCAGCTAATAAATGACTCAAGAGATTTTTCTTTTGCTCTCAGAAGGCCAATTTGTATAGCACAAGGAAACAAGCAGTTAATGAGCCAGGAATCTTAAGCTGAATATAAAATTTACTTATTGGTTTGGTTAATTTCTTTCCTCAACCTTATATGTGACTTCACCTAAAATAATTAAACAAACAACCAACAATAATTGTTGTACAATTGTTGTATAATTCTAGTACAAAAAGGTATTAACACAAAGTTTCATAGACTTTTTGGATTTTATTATTTTAAAATAACACATGACTTGAATATGCATTCCATATAATTGCACAGATTTAGTTTGAACATTTAAAAATTATGTGACATAGCTTCATTCCTTAAAAAACCTAATGAGTTATTTATACTCACCTTAAGTTTCTGATGAAAAGCTGATTTAATCTCTCTAAACATAATAGCAAATATTTACAGTAAGATTTATCAGAAGTATGGTTACAGTTATTAATTTATTCTATAAAAATGCTTCAATTGAAATTTAATGTAGTTTTTCACTAAATATATGGAAAAATACCTTTTTTCCATTTTAAATGAGGCAATCAATAACTCAAATGCTTTATACTGTTTTATATTTGCAGATTATAAAGACTTAGGGAAATATCATTAGTATTTTAGGTTTTCTAAACCTATATATAATCTATAGATTACATATGGGTTTAATATTAATGATATTTCCATTTTAAATGATGCAATCAATAACATATCACGAAATTTATGTGAAAATGGGGTTTATTACAAGAGAAATGAACATGCATGTGGAACCCAGAGAGTTCACAATTAATACGGAAGTTTGCATATTTATGACAAGACAAAGGAAAAGAGAGGAAACAAAAAGACTCCACCCAAAGGGGCACGGCATGGGAGGGGAAAGGTGCAGTAAAGGTAGGAAAAGGACAAAACCCCATCCAAAGGGGAGTAGCAAGGCAACTGCAAAAGCCACATTCTTTTCCCTTGGGACTGCTTGACCATGAAGATATGATGGTCTCCTTATCTACAAGAGCTTAGCTGCACAAGCCTAGTGCCTGTCTTGACTCACAAGAACACACAGGGAGTCCAGTTTGGCATGCAAACAACAAATGATGCCAGCTGGGGGTGGGGGATTGGGGTGGGGGCTTCATCCTTGACACATTCAGGGCCTCCTGCATGCTCTGGGTCCAGTGTTTCTGGAAAACATGGCAACTCAAAAAGACAAGTTCAAGGGAGCCCTTAACAGTCCTTAACATCTCTGCCCCTCCCTGTTGGTCAAAAACAGTACTTAGTACATTTTACCATGTTATGATTATGTGTCACAGGACTAGAGAAAGACAAATTTTCTTTCAATAATTTAATCTTGTTTTCATTGATGCATTTTTAATCACATTTATGTATGACTAGACTCTTGCCTATTTCCTTACCCAGGAAGCTATCCCTAATAACAAAGATTAAAAAGAGATAAAAACAGCTTACCAAACCAACTAACATTTTAAATATGTCTGATAACACATACAATATTTCATACCCAAAGTTCCCAGCTCTGTAACAACTTTAGAGAGGGACATTTTCCCAGTCCTTCTCTGGGTCTAAACTTGTTCATAATTTCACAGCAATCAGTTTCTTTCTCTTCACTATTTACAATCTTCTAATCATTCCATATATTGTTTTCCTGCTTCTGTTTACTTAACTTTGCATAAATTCATATGATTCTTTTAGTGCTTTTCTAAATTCTTCAAAGAGCTTTTTACTGCATAAAAATATTTGTTACATTGAATGATTACAGTTTGTTTAGCCATTCAAATGAGATAATATTTGTGAAGCATACAGCATAATGCCTGCTACACAGCAGGCACTTAAATACTTGTTCCTTGTTCTTACCTTCTCCATCCCCCACTCAATGGCACCTATGATAGTCAGCTACATGCATACAGTAGTTCTATTCATTAAAAATTTCCCTCACAGACAACAATAATCTATTTACTAAAGACAACTTAAT